GCTTCTAGGCCGTAAACTCCTAAAAATATGTTAAATGGTGCTCTAAATTCATAACAAGGCTTGGAAAATTAACTAGAATCACATGTGATTGCTCCTTGTACCTCAAATCAATTTTTCCTTCATCCTATGAGAGTTTACGGCCGTAAACTCCAAGTTTACAGCCGTGAACTCCCTTTTATGTGGTATTAATTCATTCTAATTGTTCCAAGGCATTTTAGTAAATCATTCCAACAATCCCCAAGTCAAATCAAGCCATTAAACCCTCAAAATGACACCAACATGAGTTTACGGCCGTAAACTCATGTATGTGTGTGTTTTATGGCTGTAAACTCACTTAAATGTTTATTCTTGGGGAGTAAACTCAAGTCCCAAGTCCCTAGTACTAATACACGTCCGTAGATGTCACCCGGGTCACTCCAAACGCTCGTTTTGAGGTGTTTAACCTCGTCAGAGTGTAATGTTCCATATAATTAGTGAATGTATCCCTAATTGAATATATATGGACATTATTTCATTTTACATAGGGATATTGCGAGTAATCAAACCCCGAACCAACGTTTAGTGTCTGAAACCGTCGCATTCCCGAGTCTGGTGAGTTCATACCCCTACCCCTTTTTCACTGTTTTCACTGTTTTTAAGGGGGAACACAAGCAAAGTACAAAGGATTTATTGTACTCAAAACATGTTTTCAAATGTGTGTTTCACATTCCATATGCTTTTAATGTTGATTACTACAACTGATAACCGCTTGGACATGCAGATCACGTAACATATATTTGTGAAATGGGTTTTAAACTGCTATGTTTTACTTATATTTCACAAATGGTTTTCCACATTTTGTCAGTTAAAAGCATGGTATTAGAACATTTGGACATAATACCTATACACTGTTTTGTCCTCGGTAACACTCCACATATATACGCAGGTGGAGGACTATCATATTATTACTAGTAAATTTGTTAATCCTGTATGATTGGAGACACGTCCTCGGCGAACACTCCACAGAGATACGCGAGTGGAGGACTACACCCGTAACCAGAATCTTTGGGATTTAGAGAGCGTGACTTGAGTGTATAGATCTATACGGGGCTGACTACCCCACACCTGGCTGCTAGCTACAGCCGAACCGAAATGGTTCAAGGGTGACGAAAGTCATAAGTATGTGGACTACTTATTGCCACAGGTTTAGTCTATTGTATGGTTATGGAACTCGCAATTAGGATAATAGAGATTTACTTATGGTAATAATGAACAACCTTATACAATTCACAAGATAATCAGTTCTCTAGTATACATCTTTCACATTGGAAACCAACATTCAGGAAAGTATGGGACTTTCCTGGGGAAACATTGAACATAACCACGTATTCGGAAAACATCTTTTACATATAATAACTAACATTCAGGAAAGTATGGGACTTTCCTGGGAAACCTTGTACATAACTAGGTCTAACAAGAATACATCATTTACATACGGTAACCAACATTCAGGAAAGTATGGGACTTTCCTGGGAAAACGTTTACATAACCAGAAAGGATAACAAACCGGATAACTATACGTCTTTACAAGAGAAAACATGTTTTTCAATGTACAATTCTACTTTACATGTTGACAAACAATAACAAACCTTTTTAAGAAAATATGGGATTTTCTTGGTGTGTATAACATTTCAGAAACAGAAAGGAAACTTGAACATTTTCGCAAACAAAACCACTTATGAACTCACCAGCGTTATGCTGATTTTCAAACCGCTTGTGTTCTCAGGTCAGCGTTAGAACAGGTACCCGAAGATCCTTTTTGCTTGAAGTCGGAGTACTCAGAAGACCCGTTTCATTTTGTTCATATATATATATATATATATATATATATATATATATATATATATATATATATATATATATATATATATATATATATATATATATATATATATATATATTATGTATTACAATTGTACAAACTTTACTTTTGAACAACTGTAAAAGTTTTCTTATGTAATTTAATGGTTGTTTTACTTTACTTACTATGTGCATTGGATTTGATACTCAACGTGAAGTCAACCACGTAAATGTTTCCGCCTTCGGTTTTCGGGGTGTGACAGCTTTCACATGAAAAAACCACCTCCTGTGGGGGTGTTTTCTTTTCTTTGCTCGACAAAAACGAGAGGAGAAACGAGGGCGGATCAAGAGGTTGTTGGTTCTCGACGGTTCCCGATGTCTCAAAGGTCGGTGATCCAAGTCACAGTCACCACCGTAGGTGTTTTTTCCGATCAAAAAGAGAGGAAGGGAGAGGGAATGGAGAGACAATGACTTCCTTTTATAGTCCAAACAAGCCTTTAAGGGTAGCCAAGCTCCATGCTTTTATGGCAAGTTAAACACACAACCAACCATACTTTGTACTTGAAATGAAGTGTGCACTCAACAAGGTAAAGGGGAGGAAGGTTTGGACGTGAGTGTGGGCTAAGGAGGAAAGCCTTTGGTTGATTTTTCATCACTCATGCAGGGTGGCAAGTTAGATGATGCCATATTTCCTTTAAATGCCCTAAAACGTCTTTTATAGCTTTGTGTGCCAAGATCCTTACATCTAATATTTTTTTTCAAAAATGGCGAATGATAAATCCGATTTCAAGGATTTCAAAAACTTTAACGGATTAATTTTTCGAGTTGTAGAAGTCCAAGAAATTACATTTAAAGATTCGCGTTTAAGTGACCCGAAACGTTCGATTTTTCCACTTTCACAAATACTTTTGCTAAAAATATTTCGAGTATGAAATTAAATAATATACCATAACATGAGCCAAAAACGCTATCGGAGTTTCCATCTGAGGTGTGCAAGTGCTTCAACCGATCGAAACAGTTTATGTAGTTTAAAGAAAATCAGAGTTATATTGGTTTGTTTTTTTATTTACTTATAATGATCGTATCTTTTACATATGAACTCCATTTTAGATGTTCTTTATATTTCTGAACTCAGGTGAACATGTACTACAAGACTAAAGTATTTGCTTCATTAATAACTGCTTAATACGAAATTTCAGCTTTTCAGACATATTAATTAGGGTTTCGGTACGTGCTTTATGATTCAATTGAGATTTTTCACAATTGGAAGTAAGATACCATTTCATATCTTATTATCATTGTAGCGACACTATTTTTTTATTTTTTTCAAAATATGCATTAAAGCTTAATATGTCCGGTTACAAAGAGGTTCGCGGTGAATTGATTGTCTGTAGTTTTAAACCTAAATTATGGGATGTCACAAAGTGGTGGTCTCGTTAAATTCAACACTGTAATAAAACATTTTCGTCATATATCTCGGCAGCCATACATATAATAGTTAAAAATTAACAAATTCCCATCATATGTCAGTGATAAACAATATGAAATACTCAATTGAACTCATATTATGATTTTGAGAGAAACAATATCAGGAAAAAATAAGACACTAATTTTTAATCTAAAAATTATTAGTCAACTTCTACCAAAAAATAGTCTAATAACCATATATATATATATATATATATATATATATATATATATATATATATATATATATATATATATATATATATATATATATATATATATATCGACAACAACCCCATACAAGCTTAAGTTTAGGTGTGGAACCCAATACCATGTCTGAGGTTGATTTACTGATACCTTGTGTTCCTACGAAATTCACTACATTTCACCGAACACCTGGTGTGCATTTCAAACAATCACTAACCTTTAAATTTGAAAAAAGCTAAACTATTTTCGGCATATTAAAGTTTTTTTAGAGAATAAAATACTGATTAGCGTGCTCTATCCATCAAACAGAAAAATATCGTTAAAAACCAAAAAATGGTTGTCGAGGTTGTTTGATGGAGAGTTATAATAACAACTTAGGAAAAGAAGAATTAGGGGAGGAGAGAAGCAGTTTTGAAAAAAATGAGCAATCTAGGGTTATGTAAAATTACCTCGAATATGGCCTCTTCTTTGATGGGAAATCTAGGGAGAATCACCGGTTTGATCTATTAGATTTGATGAAATGGTAGTAAGAAATAAGTAGGATTACGTATTATTTAACAAAACGATATAGTTTTAAGGGTTCCACACGTAAGAAATAAGTAGGATTGCGTATTATTTAACAAAACGATATAGTTTTAAGGGTTTCACACGTAAGCTTGTCTGTGGTTTGGAATACCGGTGTTTTCACGAAGCAAAGGTTTTGGAAAACCTACGGTTTTGTAATGAAATATGATTTTTGTTTCTTAAATACACAACCAGTAACCGTAAATTTTAGGTGACACAGCAGATACGATTATATCGATTATTTTTGGTTAAAAGATGAAAAATCATTGGAGAATACGACTAGGTTAGTGATTTTTTTTTTCCTATTTTAACATGCATACTCAAAATTTTATATAAAAAATTATTGATCCTTTACACACGCACGGGTACACCGGTTAAAATAAAATTTTGACAAAAGCAACATTTTTGCATTTTTCGTTGTAATACTCTCAATTTATATGGATGTTATTTTTGAACACATCTTCTAAAACCCATCTCTTTTTCACTTTCTCACCTCCATGTTCAGGGGTTTGCCTCAACTTTTCACACAAAAGTCCTTTTTGAAAAAGTCAAGGTTTTCTGAAACCCCCTTCACGCCGGCCATTTGTCCGCCTCTTCCCCTTCCCATCGCCGCCACCGCCACCGCCACCTAAGGTAAACGTCTCTCTTCTCTTGTTTCTCGTCTCTTCCATCTCTTATCTTCCGTCTTCTCTCTAATCTGATTAGGTTATGTTTTCCTGAATCACGAATCTGAATATCAAACATTTGAATCTCGAATCTGATTGTATCTTCTGTCCTCTCTCTGTATCATTTAGCTAATCCTATTCTGGTGGATTCAGTGTGTGTTACAGGGTAAAATTGAATGATTCTGTTGGATTCGTGCATTTTTAAACTGAAACATGATCCGTTCTTCTGCAAGTTAGGTTACACGCTCGCCTTAACGCATGACGATGGAGCTTCCGCCGGACATACTATTCTACAAGATATTACCACGGCTGCCGGCGAAATCTATAGGCCGTTTCAGGACTGTTTCCAAGCAATGGCACTCGGTACTACGGACGCCTTTGTTTGAGAAGTTACACCTCCAACACGCAACAAACGACCACCATCAAAACCACCACAAACTTCTGATAATCCCTTACGACTCTCCATGTGTTTTCAACACCATCGACTGTGAAGCACCCGAGGATGGATTAACTCCCAGCCGCTTGTTGCCATTTGATTTCGATCCAAGTTCTGAAAAGATGAAGCTTCTAACATCTTTTGATGGACTGATTTGCGTAGGCATAGCCAAGCTTAGTTGTGGTGATGAATACTCTGATCTGATATTATGGAATCCTTTAACAGGTGACTATAAGAAGCTATCTAAACCTGACAATTCTCACAAAGCATGCTACAAGCGTCGCAGAAAAGCATTTGGTTTGTATTACAGTGACGATGACTACAAACTTCTAAGTGTAACCCGTGATTCCGATGCTTACATCTACTCATTGAAATCCGATTCATGGAGAAAGGTTGATTCATCATCAAAGGACTTGAAGAAAGGTATTGACAATCGGATTTCAAAACATTGGTGGCCAAGTACTCTGCTGAATGAAAATCTCTATTTCTTAAACTACGCTGACAAAAGAGACCCTTTAGATCCATCTCATCGAATATCATATTATTCAATAATAAGGTTCGACACAAACACAGAGAAGTTCACAGAGATAGCAACTCCCTCTTTTGGAGTTCCAGATGTAATAACTTGCTTCAATCACCAAGGCTGCATTCATGTATATGGAGTCTATGGCGTCATAAGGTTGAATTCTATAGTATTTGGTGTTGAGCTGTGGAGGATGGATGGAGATGGAGGAGACTGGAAGAAGGTGGTGGTTTCTGATCCGATACCTAATTCAATGTGTATAAAACCACTACACTTAATGAGGGATGGAAATTGCCTCATTCATTCCATTTCTGAAGGTTTGGTTTACAAAATAGATTTGGCCACAAATACCAAAAACTTATCATGTTCGTTTTCTGCTCGTGGCTTGGATACATCTCCAACTGGGAAATACATCCAGACTTTGGTGTCACCTAATCGGTACCTTTAGACTCTTTTAGCAGCCTTTGTCTTTCTTCTTTTCTTGTTGATTCATTTTGTTGTGTAATGAATGATTAGTATGAACTCAACTTTGTCTTTGGTTTACTTGTCACACTTGGAAGAGAACCACATTTATCCAGATTTACTTGTTGATTTCATTTTGTTTTCCAAATCTGATGATACTCTTCTGTAGATAAAATGGTGAGTTTTACTATAGAATTGAGAGCTTGATCCACAATTATTGCTGATTTTTTTTGAACTTTGTATTGGGGTCTTGAGCACTTTTATGTTATTCGAGTGTTGCTTGTAAGACCCTAAAAATTAAGTCATCAAGCATATATGAAAATATATGTAAATTAAATTGCTAAGACTCAAGTCGTGAAAATCATAAGTGGGTGTCAAGAACCCAAAGGGTAGTATGCTAAGATAAAAAATATATCTATATAGTTATGCCACCATTTAGCAACAAGTTGAAAGTACGATGGCTAAATAAGTAATTTAGCATTTGTATGGAGTTTAAAGTGGGGAGTTATAAAGTAAAGGGTTGTGTGGCATGGAATGCATGGTTTGATTTAAGAGATATATTCAAGTCTTTGGTTGGGTTGAAATGATGATACCTCATTACCTTTGTCTATTTCGACCCTTGGAAAAGTACATTGTGCATAGCGCGATATATTATTTAATTGGTAACAAAAATGCGTTGGGTAATGAGATAATATTTAATTAGTAACAAAAATGAGATAATATTTAATTGGTAACAAAAATGCGTTGGGTGATGAGAAGTACTTCATAAAACATTATGTTTATAATATAATAATAAGCAAATGAAATTATATTTCCCGTTGCATTGGAAAACAGTTAAAAGAGGTCAAATACATAACTGGACAAGGGAAATTGAACATGGGCTGATGTGGGCTCGACCATATGATCTTGGACTTGAGGTCTAGGTCTCAGTTGAATATTGCATAAGCTTTTTTTTGCCAAACACCCACCTCAATATCGTGTTATTATCATTTTAATAAGATGTTAATATTGTGTTATTATTGATTTAATTTCGTGTTGATGTTGTATAATTATCAGTTTTATTCATTATAATATTATTAAACTTCAAAACCCTAATTTGATCTACTTTGAAGATTTTCGAAATTTCACTATTGTTTCCTTTTATATCACATCTTTTTGCCGAACATCTACTAGGCTATATATATATTATAGTTGAAAATGAAAATTATGTAAGAGAAAGATAAATGTGAAATTAATAAAAAATTTAGAAGTAAATCAAATTAGAATTTGAATTATAAGAACATTGGACAATTACAATGTATGTATATGATACAAAACAACTTAGTATGGTGAATTTGGGTACATAAGCTTATATATATATATATATATATATATATATATATATATATATATATATATATATATATATTTCTAATTCCACCTATGTCTCCGATGAAACTTGAACCTTCAACCTCTAGGAGGGAGGACAACACCCGGTACCGCTGGGCAAAGCCCAAGATTATATATACATGTAATTTGATAAATGAGTAATATCACAAATAATACTAATTAATGCAAACACGATTTATAACCCTTTAATTAACCTAACCAGAGTTGTATCCAAATCGAATAAAAAGTCATACACGCAGATAATCTAAGCTGTGAGATGAATATATATAGCACCAAAAAACACCAAAACACAGTTATATTTTCATATCATATCCTTATCCTCTTCCGCAACTCACGTGAGATGAATATAATACTTAAAACCATCAAACCCATAATCCCTTCTCTTCCCCATCTGTTTCTCCTTCTCTCTCTCATTGTCGATGCAGATGCTTTCAAACCTAGAAAATCAATCTCATTTTGTTCCACCTCTTTTTCATGTTCCTCAACAAGCCCTTCATCAAGCCCATAAAAAACAAAATCAACAAATAAGATGTTTTTCTTCTTTCCTTTTGGGAGGAGAGTATGGAAGGATAAAAATCAACGACTATCCTTTCTCTTCTTTCCTTTTCTTCCAAAAAAGAAAAAAGAAAAAAGAAACTAACTAGGGAGCACAAAACTTTTATGTTTTTCTTCTTTCCTTTTCTTCCGTTCTCTTCTTTCATTAAGTGACATTCACACTAAATCCCCTTACTATGGGAGGAAGAGTAGGAGATAAGATCTTCACTAACCTGCTTCCTCTCTCTTTTAGCCGGTTGTTTCCTTTAAAAAATATGGGAAACATGATCAACATCTGATCATCTACTTCGACTCCGGTTAGTGTTAAAAAGTTTCAAAAAATAGAGCAAATTAAGGAGGTGGTTGTTTTAGAAGGCTTTATTTTCCGAGTTTATTTTATATAAGATCATTTTTCCTAGCTTATATTCCAACTAATGAGTTTATTATGATTTCACTAAGAAAATAAGTTGAACTCATGAAAAATAAATCAGAAAAAATGAACTTATAAAAAATAAGTTTGGAAAATAAATCCTTAATAAACTAAAACAAACACCCATAAATCCCTAACCCTTTAAAAATCTATCAAATAAATCTTAATCTATATTAAAAACTTCCAAACAAAATAAGTGAACAACAATAAAACTAATAATCTAAACAAAAAGAAATAATTATATACGACGACGACAACAACACAATGTAAAAAAACAAAAGAATAATAATTAATGAAAGACAAAACTGCAAAATTAGTCCTTATGGTATGCGAAAAACTTTGGATAGGGTCCAAAAAGTTTTCAACTTGCATGGGAGATCCAAAATCAAAAACTTCCTGTGATTTTGGTCCAAAAAAACTTGAAAAGACGATTATGCCCTTTTTTTTGTATTTTTTATATTTATGCAAATACTAATTTACTTTAAAAATAAAAAGAAAAATAGAATTATCCCCTTACCCCCACCGTTCTCTCTCTCTCTCTCTCTCTCTCTCTCTCTCTCCATATTCGTCTCCCCCTCTCTGTATCTCTTAAAAAAAAAGTCAAAAACTTAAAACACATGACCTCCATCCACCACCACAGGACCGTCACTGCCCTGAACCCATGACTATCGTCGCCCTAAAGCCACATACCACAACCGCCCTACCTGTGTCTTACTTCTTTAAATTTTTTTCTTGACCAAATTGCAGTCATTTTCACTATTTGAAATCACTCAGTCGAGTGATTCTAGGGTTCCATCAATGGTGGTTCATAGCAATGGAATAGGAGGAGACAGTGTTTCAAGTTAGTGAAATTGAGAATGAAGGTTATTGGGTCGACTTTCATCACTATTAACAAGACCCGTTTTCTCCATTCACTCTGATTCAAAAGGTAACCTTGATTCTACCATTCCAACTATTAGAATCAGGAGAGCAAAGAAGGGACTCAAAGATAAAATCAATCTTCCAGAAATCTCTAGTGATTTTCTGATCAATTCTGGAAGAAAGCAACTAGAGAAAGAAGTAGAGATGTTTCGATCATTACTCCAGAAACCGGTAAATCATTACTCTAGAAACCGCGATGGAAAGGTAGCTCCGGTATCAGGCGAAGGTTCAAGGGTCATTGCTTAAGCAGACACGGTGGCTGCCATCGAGATTTCCTTGAGGGAAATAATGAAATCCTTCACCACACCCATCAGAAACCTAAAATACTCAAGAAACCCACCTGAAACAAGAAATACTCATTAATTTTGTGGATTTGATAGTCAATGAAGGAGCAGAGCTAGAGAAAAATGGAGAATATGAAGGGACAAGGAGGTTTCCAATGGTGGTAGAGGGCAGCGAGGACCAGACAGAGAAATGGAGAAAACACAATCACATATCTGAATGTGCTTCTTGTATAATCAGTTTCTTCAGGATATGGTTAAATTGCGCAATTATTGAAGTAGCAGAACCAAAATTAGTTGAATATCAAGGAGGCAAACTGGTCTCGATCCTTTCCCTCTATCTTGATTATATATTAGAGTTGACTCAGTATCTGATACCTTCTCCACCTCCTATATATATGTGTTTTGTGTATTTGTTGGTTATAACGATTTGAAGAGGGAGCAAGTACTAATTTTGGACAATTTGCAAGTACTCGAAACCCAGAAAATCTAATTAAGAAAGGGAAGAAGAAGATGGATCAGGATTTTTCTTGACTTTTTCTTTAAGAGAGAGAGAGAGAGAGAGAGCACGGTGGGGGTAAGGGATAATTCTTTATTTTTCTTTTTATTTTTGAAGTAAAATAATATTAGGATAATTATAAAAAATGCAAAATAGAAAATAAAAGGGCATAATCGTATTTTCAAGTTTTTTTGGACCAAAATCACAAAAAGTTTTTGATTTTGGACCTCCCATGCATGTTGAAATTTTTTTAAACACTATCCAAAGTTTTTCGCAAACCAGGACTAATTTTGCAGTTTTGTCTTAATGAAATAGTCACTCTAAAAATCAAAAAAAGTATAAATGACAAACCAGGTGTTTGCAACTAAAAACTAGACTATATAGTGCTCTATTTTCTATTAAGGCAAAGGAAAAACAACTTGAAGCAAAAAATGCTAATTACTTCAAACATTATAAGAAGAGAAGAAGCCACCCTCCCCTACTGTATCGCCCTTTCTTCTTACTATAATGCAATATAGTCTGTTAATCTACTTAGCCGTTTATATAACCCTTCCCCACCTCCGTTCTTCTTCACACAAATCACATATTTTCTCAGTCATTCATCATCCATCTATCTGTCGGTGTTCTCTCTTTATTTAACCTTGATTTCAATTTTTGAAGCTCTAACCTTAGGTACCATTTCCGACCAATGCTCCACCAACTGCTTCCAAAATGTATACAACAGTCCCATTCCCTAGACCCCCACCACTCTCTGTATATAACCGTCACACGCACATAATTTCTTGGTAATAAATAGAAGGAGATGAAGCTATCTAAAATGTCGATGTTTTGCTCCTTTAATCAACGATGACCGCTAATTTAGGGCTTATTTGAGAAAGCTATTGATATTCGAGGTCAGATTGCTTAAATAGTTGTATTAAAAAGGTAAGTAG